GGCCAGGAAAGGCTGAACACTGCAGAGAATTCCTTAGACGTCATCCTTAAAGCGTTTGCTGTTTGGCCCAACAAACTTGGCTAGTAAGAAAGGGACGAATCTGCTGCTAAGGTGCAGGGCGCGGAAAGAGGGACGAATCTGCTGCTAAGGAGTGGGTTGCGAGGAGAGATTGTTTTCCTCACGGTTCAGCCTGTGCTAGCTAAAGTGTGAACACCTGAAAGATTACAAATTAGCATTTCTGTTTGTTTTTTTTTGAGACAGGGTTTTGTTGTGTAGCTCTGGCTGTCCCGGAACTCACTTTGTAGAGCAGGCTGGCCTCAAACTCGCAGAGATCCTCCTGCCTCTGCCTCCTGAGTGCTGGAATTAAAGGCATGAACCACCACTACTCCAGCTGAATTCATGTTTCTAAAAAACTCAAAAGTTGTCCTAAAATGTGGGTTTATTGCAGTTGAAAATTAATTTGGTCTTATGTCTTTTTCCCCCAGAATGGCTGGTCCTGAATTTCTGAGTTCAGCTCATCTTTCTGCCTTCTCAGTAGCTGGGACTGCAGGAGCTGGCAAACCCAGCTACGGTCCAGGGTCTTCATGGATATAGGGGTGACCCACATCCTCAAGAGCAGCAGTAGGTGTAAAAACTTGTGAAGGCGAATCTTTTCTTGGTGTTAGGTTTTTGAGGACAGGGTCTGTTGACTTTCATAGCCAAAGTTGGCCTTGGCCATGGGTCCTCCTACCTCAGCCTCCTAAAGCTGGGATCGCAGGCATGTGTCACCACACCCAGATGAAAAATAATTTTATAAAAGGAATTTTGTGCGTGGTCAAGTTGGCTGCGATCGAAAGGGAATTATTCCTAAGTTCACTGAGCTTTACCACATTATCCAAACTCAGAATTGTCCGCTGCTGTTACAGGACAGCCACACGGCTCTCGGAGGAGCAGAACAGTCCGCTGCTGCTGCAGGACCACACGGCTCTCGGAGGAGCAGAACAGTCCGCTGCGGCTGCACCACAGCCACACGGTTCTCTGGAGCTGTTCTTTGTAAACATTTTGAGAAGCTTTGATTTTTAGTTCTGATGCCACTTTTTACTTTTTCAACCACCTTTGGGGCTGCAGCTTTCCCCGTCCTACAGGCTCCGTTTAATTTCTCTAATTCTGGGTTTTGAACGCTATGGCCTCTATTTAAAGTAGCAATTACATTTCTCGGGATGGGCTTCTCCTTTTGCGAATTCATCTCCCTGAAGTCTGAGTGTTGCTGTGTCTCACGACCGAGGTCAGCAGATGGTGTGCGATTCGCTGCCTCCCTTCCTCCTGCTCCCTTCTTAGGGCCGTTCTGCTGTTGCATGCAGACACGGTTAACTTGTTTTATGTATGTGTGTAATGTGTGTATATAGGGTATCTGTATGTGATATATATATGGTATGTTTATGTGTGTGATGTGTGTGGTATGTATTCATGATGTATTTATCATGTGTTGTGGTGTGTGTATGGTGTGTGTTTAAGGTATATAGCATGTGTGTGTAGGCCATGTGTGTGCTGTTTGTGTGTATGGTTTGTATGTATGTACATGTATTCATATGTGTACGTGCATGTATGTGCCGTTGTGCTCATGTGGAGGTCAGAGGGCAGCATCAGGTGTTAGTGCTTGCCTTTAACCTTGTTCTCTGAGGCAGGGTCTCTTGCTCACTACTCTACAGACTGGGCCTTGAGCTTCCCAGAACTGTCCTGCCTTCACCTCTCATCTCGCCATGGATGACAGCGTCACATCTGGCTTTACCCAGGTCCTGGGGCTCCAAGCTCCTATTCTCACACTTGCAGGACAGCATCAGCCACTCAACAACCTCCCCATCTTGAAATGCTGTCTCCAAGGTCTATGGAAGTGTGTAAATGGATCTGCACTGGGGGCAATTGTGTCTGCGAGCCAGTATAACATAAAATGGCTCCCACCATAACTGTTATGTCTTCCCATCGCTGCCCTTTTGGTTTTTTGAGATGGGGTATGGCTATGCAGCCTGGCTAGTCTCACATGGCAATCCTGCTGCCTCAGCCTCCCAAGTACTGGAACTACAGGTGTGTGCCACCAGGCCCAGCCTAGGACCTCACCAATGCCAGAGAAGGGCTCTACCAGTGGGCTGTACTGAGATCGCTCTCTGTGGCTCTTTTTTGCTGGCTCCAGGAAGATGCTTGAGGGCAGGAACTGGGGGGTGGCCTATTGCTCCATGAGACTTTTGCCAGGGTTGTGACTGTCCTCCTCATACATGAGGAACACAGGGCAGATCTGGCTCCTCATAAAGCCTGCAATACCTGGTAAAACAAATTTTAAATCTCATCTTTTATGGATCCTTCCCTCCTGGATTTCTGCTTAATTTACGTAAGCCAACATTATGCTGTTCCTTGCCAGTTCCCTAAATAAGTAAATAATGTGTGTACACACACACACACACACACACGTACGTGTTGGGCCTGGTGGCACATGCTTTTAATCCCAGCACTCAGGAGGCAGATGAAGGCAGATCTCTGTGAGTCTGGTCTACATAGTGAGTTTCAAATTAGCCAGGGCTACATACTAAGACCCTTTCTAAAACAACAACAAAAACAATAGCTCTTTTGCTCGCTCTCCATATATGTATGTGTGCACTTAAAAATACTAAGATTTATGGATATGAGTGTTTTGCCTGCATGTATGTCTGTGTATCATGTACATACCTGATGTCCAAGCTCAGGAGTCAGATTCCTGGGAACTCGAGTTACAGATGATTGTGAGCAGCAGTGCTCTTAGGCAGAGCCTTCTCTCCAGCCCAGCCGTTGCTTCTTTCTTATCTAAATTTGTATTATTGTTGAGTACGGTTGCTGTGCACCACAGTGCGCATGCAGAGGTCAGAGGAAATTGCGATGGCCTTTTTAGCTAGACCCTGAGTTGTCCCTGGCCCCTAAGATGAGGCTGACACAACAGTGGTCCTTACCTGACGAAGAGAGGGATGCAGGCTTGCTCTCTGCTTTGCTCCATGCACGGTTCACAGGCTCCCAGCACCCATGCAGGGCTCCTAACATCCAGAAACTGCTCCCAGCTGAGGCAGACAAGCCATGAGCCTTTAGCAGAATACGGTACCACCGCCTTCAAGATTCACGAAAACAAATGATGCCTCCATGTGTTGAAATGGTCCCCAGAGGTAGTGGCACTAGCAGGAGGTGTGAGGTGTGGCTTTGCTGGAGGAAGAGTGTCTCTGTGCGGGTGGGTATTGAGGTCTCCTATGCTCAAGCTACACTTCCCGTTGCCTGTATATCAAGATGTAAAACTCTCGGTTCCTCCAGCACCGTGTCTGCCTGCACGCTGCCATGTCCCACCACGATGGCAATGGACTAAACCTCGAGCGGTAACCCACCCATTAAATGTTTCCTAAGAGTTGCCTGTCATGGTGTCTCTTCACAGCAGCAGAAACCCTAAGACAGGAGTGAGCATTCGGATTCCGGATGTTTGGGCTGGGGCATGACTAGCCGAATATTCCCCCTTTGTTTTTTGAGGCAGGTTCTAGCTACCTACCAGTCTGACTGGCCTTGGATTTAAATTGGCTCTTCTGCCTCTGTCTCCTAAGTGTTGGGATTATAGTGCGCCCTCCCACACCTGGCTCTACCTCTGAGTTGCTCCTTCTGAGGACAATGGCACGCTGTGACCTCTCCTGTCCGAGCTAATGGTGTATGATTCTTTGTGTGGCTGCGGGAGTCCATTCTCTCTGTGACGTGGGTTCCAGCAATCACATTCGAGTCCTCAGCCTTGCACCTCCACCTGCTGAGCCACTGCACAAACCCCTGTCATGTCTTTTTTTTTTAAAAGATTTATTTATTTATTATGTACACAGTGTTCAGCCTCCATGTATACCTGCAGGTCAGAAGAGGGCACCAGACCTCATTACAGATGGTTGTGAGCTACCATGTGGTTGCTGGGAATTGAACTCAGGACCTCCGGAAGAGCAGTCAGTGCTCTTAACCTCTGAGCCATCTCTCCAGCCTCCCGTCATGTCTTTCTTCACAGCTCAGAAATGGAGATGTCTCTGACTTCAGGACAGAGAGAGAGGGAGCACCTAATGAAAGCAAGAGTGCACGTCTCCACTAGTGAGGCTATGCAGCAATCCCTCCCCCTGCTCAACAGTCTCGCCACATAGACCAGACTGGCCTGGAACTCACCATGTAGACCAGGCTGGCCTGGAACTCAGAGATCCACCTGTACAACTCTGGATCATCAGTTTCTCTGTGCAGCTCTGGCTGTCCTAGAACTCACTCTGAAGACCAAGATGGTCTCGAACTCACAGAGATCTGCCTGTTTCTGCCTCCCAAGTGCTGAGATTAAAGGTGTGTGCCACCACTACCAGGTGTTTTTGTTTGTTTTGTTTTGTTTGAGACTCTGTCTTGTGTAGCCCAGGCTGGCCTTGAACCCATAGCAATCCTCTTGGCTCAGCTTCCTAAGTGCTGAGTATAAGGCATGCATCATGCCCAGCTTTGAGTTATTTAGCATATAGACTGCTAATAAATGTGGTTTCATTTAGGAGATGTTGAGTACTCTGTGCGTTTGATACAAATGCAATGTTTTGCCTTTTTTTTTTTTTTAATATTTATTATGTATACAATAGTCTGTCTGTGTGTATGTCTGCAGGCCAGAAGAGGGCACCAGACCTCATTACAGATGGTTGTGAGCCACCATGTGGTTGCCGGGAATTGAACTCAGGACCTTTGGAAGAGCAGTCAGTGCTCTTAACCACTGAGCCATCTCTCCAGCCCAATGTTTTGCTTTTCAAATTACTATCTGTGGCTGCTGAACCATAGATCTGTAATACAGAACCATGAACAGCAGTTAGAAACAGATGGGATGGTGTACCTTTAAGGGTGCGGCTCTGCTACAACCCACAGTGCCTTGATACACATAAAGAACAGTAAGCTCCAAGGTGCCTTGGCATCTATGAACCAGTGCACAGGCTTCCGCATCCCAGTGTTCCTTGGAAGAAAACCAGCACCACTGGCTCATGCATTCTTTATTCATTTGACAAATACAGGAAGAAAATCTGCAATCATTATCAAAATTATATCTTACCAAGAGTTTGAAAGTATTTATTTAAAAAGTTATATTCACAGTCTGTTATGTACAAATTATTACCCATAGTAGGGGAAGCCAGGCAGTGACCATGTGAGAGTAAAGAACACTCTGGAAAAGCTCACCCTGGCACTTGCCTTCCACAAGTATGCATTTGAATAGAAGGGCTTCCAGGGAAGCCCTTCCTGCTGTGCAGGCAAGGGTTAGCACTACCTGGCAGGGTCAGGGGGGCCCTGCATCCCGAGAGGCTACCCCACACTCCTGGAAATGGCTTTGACATTCAAGAAAGGGTTCATTTCAGCACCAAGATGGGCTTTGCAATATGCAAATTATGGTTTCCTATCAGATGTGTAGACTGATGAGGTGCAGGGGACCCTGAGATGTGGCAGCCTGCGGGTATCTAGCGGGCACTATCCACGAGGGCTGGGAAGAACAAAAACCGGTGCCTTTTTCCTTTTTTAAAACTGCCTGTGCTTGGATAATCTAAAGACACAAGAAGATGCCAGGATTGCTTCTGAACTCTAACTTAGCAAGATATGACACCTTTTCCATCCTGAGGTTGGAAACAGATATCCAGCTCCTGAGCTATCCTCAAACTGAGCATCAAGGATCCAAGGGGGCTCGCTGAAAGAACGGATTTCTGAGAGAATGATGTCACCTTATTGATAGCATCCATTTTGTAAGCCTCAGTGGTCAAAAGTAGTTAAGAGACGTCAAGACATGTGTGGGATCTGGGGATGTAACTCAACTGGTAGAGTGCCTGCCTATCACGCACACGGCCCAGTTCAATCCCCCGCACAGAGTAAACTGGGCACAGTGGTGCGTGTGGGTAACCCAGCTCTTCAGAGCAAGAAGCAGAAGGGCTGAAGTTTAGGAACACCCTCAGTTACGCAATGACTCTGAGGATAGCCGGGGGTTTTCTTTCAGAAGGGACAGGGGAAGTGGAGGGACGAAGGCAGGGAGGGAAGAGGACAAACAAGGCTCTGGCTCATCTCTGCAGCCTTCGACTCCTGTACCACGCCAAGAACACAGGATACTGAACAACGCCTGCATCTCAGCTTTTCTTCCAGGGTGAGGTCACAAGTGGTCAGCAATGCAAAGCCTCGCTCTGGGGGTCAGAGACGGAGACTTACTTCCCTTACAGGTCTGACCATGGAAGACCTTGTTTGGCAGTTTAACAAACAGGATCAAGAGCACACACAGGGCCAGCAAGGCCTCCCAACCTGAGGATCCGAGTTCAAGTCCTGGAACCCGCATGATGGGAGCAGAGAAGCAACTGCTGGTGTTTATCCTTTGACTTCATGAGCACATGCTCCATGCCTACACACACAGTAAATAAATGTAATGTATATATTATATACATACATGACTCAGCATGACAGCTCATGTCTGTGTGATCCCAGTACTTGTAAGGTGAAGGCAGAAGGATCATAAATTTGAGTCCAACCTGTGCTTACACAGGAGAACCCATCACACACACACATTGGCTTAAAACCACAGACAGGACAAGCAGCAAACACTTGGGCACCTATCGCAAAAGGACACTAAACTCTCCAGCGGAGTTTAAAAACAAAACTGCTCCTCTGTGGTGGAGTTCACAGATTGCTTTTGGCTTTGTCCTTTGCCCCATTTTTTTTCTCTTTTTTTCCTCTTGGAGAAATGTAGTCATTGAGAGTAAAAGCTGTGGCCCCACGACCCCTCTAGCACGGCAGATTCAAAAACAGGAAAGAGTCCTTCTCCGGCCAACTGCAGCTGGCATTCTGCCCCAAAATGCTGTACCCTGTAGGCATCAGACCTGAGCCCCAAAGCTACTGCTTTTCTCCCGCCAGTTTTCCACTAAGCAGGCTGGATTGGGTGACTTTATCCCTGGTGCGGCTTGTACCCACTCCTCTCCTAGGCTTAAATACCCACACACAAACACAGCCTGGATGGACCCTCTTATCCATGAAAGACAACGAAACACTTGGACCCTTACACAAGCTGCTCTGGCTGAGAGCCACAAAAGAGCCTTGAACCAAAAGGCTGTGACTTCCATTCTGCTGTCTGGGCAAAGGGGGGTAGTGAGATGGCTGGGTAGCACCTGGTGGCCCGAGTTTGAGCCTCAGCACCCATGTGAATGTAGAGAGAGCTGAGGCATGTGCGCACAATAATAAAACAGTACCTTCTACCCAAGTCCCTCTCTCCTCTTGTGTGGCTCCTAGTTTTCTTCTCATTGGCTAAGATGAGCCTGAACCCAGGGCCCCGAGGGTGCTGAGCGCCCTGTGCTTTACCAAAAAGCTACACCCTCAGCTCTTATGTGCGCACGTTTGTGGGGTTCTGTCCTCAGGAGCCATCACCTTGCTTTTTGACACAGGGCCTTTCACTGGCCTGGACCTCGATGAGGCTAGGCTCGCTGGATTAGGCCTGACTTCTAAAGTTGAATTCTTACTAGAATTACCCCAGGCTGAGTTAGCCTATTAGTGGAGCACTTGCTAGCATGCCCCAAACGCCAGGTATGATCAACTGTGCCCCCTCCCACACGCACGTAAACATGCGCGCGCGCACACACACACACACACACACACACACACACACTACTGTGACCCAAAAGAATAAAGAGAAGCCCAAACTGGCTCACAGGCTAGTCTGGGAGAGAGCTAGCAAGCACTTCTTGACCCACATCCAAGTTTTTCACATTGCCCAGCTGATCTCCTGGCTGAGGCCACTGCCACACACCCATGGGACTCCTGCTCAGTCTGTGCATGCTGCCAAACTGACCCACAGCACCTGAGCTCACCTGTGACCTCTGTAGCCCAGCCTCGGCCTTCACTCCGCCTGTGTAGTGAGTATACTGCCCCATGGCTATGGGAGGCCCCTGCCCTTGGCGTCTCCAGGTTTTCCACAGCTAACCAAGAACCAGCTTTTTGCCAAACTCTTGCCTTGTTAGACACAACTGGTTCATAAACTGAGAAACTACCGGCATTGGACATTAATTCAAATTCTGTAGTTTTATTTTCTTTTCCAATGCTGGGGACTGAACCCGGGTCTTGCTAGACAAATATTCTACCACTGAGTTCTACTCCAGTCCTAGTTTGAACTCTGACCCTGGCAGAAGGTTGCCGTGACAGAAGAAACACTAGGCTGGAGCGTTTCCACCAGCCAGCCTGTGCTTTGATCCTATCTGCCTCCGAGGGGTCAGATGACGGCCAGGCTGCAGCACTGACTGCATCACGTGAGGTCAGGACCCTGGTTATCAGGGTTGGTTGCTACCTCCCAGAGCTGCCCTGTCTGCTGTCAAACAGAACTGCTGTGTGGACAAGGGAGGGACAGAGAGAGAAGCATCAGGGGTGAAGTAAGCTCACAAGTATGTTTAACAATGAGGAGGCTGTGGAAAATCCAGAACTTACTTGAGGAAGACAGGGTACTATCGAGCAATAATTCCATAACTTCCAGAAATTATAAACTTTGGTACCTGAGGTTATGACTCAGAATAAAGCAACCCCAAATTCGTTCAGACTGGCCTTGGGGGAGAAGCGGCAACCACAGGTGATCATGAGTCAGTGCTTGAGAACCAAAACGGTCAACACCACAGATGTGACAGGAGAGGGAGTTGGGGGGGGGGGTGCCCTTATTTAAACTTACAAGTGGGTAGCAAAAGAGCCTACGAGTGAGGCCCAGGCCCAGTGTTCCCTCCTCACAGAACCTCTGGACAGTGCAGGATTCAGCTAATACAGGTTTTATTTCCAACATGGTGGAGAAGATGGAAGTTCTGTTGGTTCACACCACTTCATTCAGCCTCTTGAGGGTTCCCAGTGCTGGCAAAATCTCCGTGCCCAAGGGTCATACTATTGGCAGAACACAACTTCTTGGTCCAGCACATTTTCTTGTCCTTGTCCCTCAAATCTGGTAGTATTTGCACTGAGGGATATCTGCCCACTGCAATGATGAATGCTGGAAGCTGTTTTCTGTAGACACCTCCTTCCAGAGTCCAACAAAGCAGGTGGCCAGGGAACTTGGAAGGAAGCTGCAAAAGTCCAGCTAGAGTCTTGACTTCGTTAGATGAGGACAAGGGAGAGTCATGTATGTCCTCCTCAGGTATTTAATAATCAAAGAAGAAACATCCATGGATTCTAACTGTAGATATGCTAGATATAAAATTGATGGAATGCAAGCTGGTCCATAAAGGGCTGCACGAGATAATCCGTGGCAAAGTAGAAAACCAGCCCAAAGGTGATGGAGATGGGGAGAGCTGGCAGCGCCTTCTTGAAGATGGCGAGCAGTAGTAAGGTAAGGCACAGGCCCTGTGGGGATGGACGGATGCACACTCAGGACTGACAGCATGCCACACACAACTGTTCAGTACCACACGCAGTGAATACTCTCTTCAGTCCTAACTTCTACAACAAAACTCTCATGAAATCTGGAGTCAGCAAAGAAAAACATAGCTTCTAGAACATAGCTTATGGTACACGCCAGCTACGCTGGACGCCGAGGCTGGATTACCTGAGCCCAGCCTGGGCAGCACAGTGAAAGCTGGTTCAAGAGAAAGGGAGGAAAGAGGACATGGGAGAGAATGAGAGGGAAGAAAATCTGTACTGGCGATGCCCAGGGCCTTGTGCATGCTGAGAGTGACCCTCCCTGAAAATACAGTTGCTGCTTTTTTGTTTATTTATATACACAGTCCAGATTGGCCTCAAATTCTTAATTTTCCTGCCTCAGCCTCCTAAGTACCAGGACCTAAGTGTGCACAATGCCTGAATAAAATAATTTTTTTTTAAAAGACCATTACATACAACCTAGGCTGACTTCAAATCAAGCTCCAGGACAGGCTCCAAAGCTACAGAAAAATCTTGTCTCGAAAAAAACAAAATCAAGAAGATAAACTCTTACTATATGGCCTAGAATTTAACCAGGCAGAGAGCCACCTGACTTTGCTTCCAGAATACCAGGGTTAAAGGTGTATACCAACACACCTAGTTTTCTAAATTCTGAACGCCACAGGCACTATAAACAAAATGGGATCCTGTACTGGGCCAGCCTCTCTCGCTCCATACCTGCCGTCCCAAAGCAATCCCGGTGGATGAGCGTCCGTGTAAGAGCACTGAGCACTGGCTTAGCGCACGGACTGGGAGTCCTAGCTGACTCCCACCTACGCTGCCAGGCTCTCAACAAAGCGTCTAAGAGGTATAATTTCCTGGAGAATTTTTAAGAACTACTCAAAACAAGGTAGTTATTCTATCTCTGGATGGGACAAAGATGAGCACAGGACTGATACCAAAAGCAAGTGTAGAAGAGCAAGTACATGATGCCGCAGCTCACGAGACTCAGCAATGCACTTCTCCGCAGACAAGACACAGCTAGGCTGGAAACAGTAGGCGGTTTTAATGTGTGTCCAGAGTGAAGAACTACTCAGGTAGGGTCTAATTATCCATTTTTAAAAGCCTCTCAAGGGATTGGAATTCTCAGCCTATCTGGAATCCAAAGAAAATTGTTAGGGCCAGGGCGATGGCTCAGCAGATAAAAGCACTGCCACGTAAGCCGGACAAGCCGAGGTTGATCCCAGAGCGCATGTGAAGAGCAGGATGTAGTGGGCACTCACCTGTGGTCCCAGCACTCCTATGGGGTATGGGAAGTGGAGACAGGAGGGCAGACGGGGGGGGGGGAGCAAAAATTGCAGTGGCCCTGCCCCAGGGGAAGGAAAGATCCAGCTCCCCAAAAGTTGTTCTGTTAAACATTTTCCACAGTATATGTGCATGAACACACTTAAAAGAAAAATATCCTAAAGTTACAGGGAACTCAGCGTCTGACCCATCTTTGCCAGGGCACACTTACGATTAGTATGGCCACAAAGCAGGCTATGGTTGTGTTCCAGTCTCCGCTGGCCGTGGCTGAGGCTTTACCAACCAGAACACTGTAGAAAATGAAATCTCCCAATCCAAGCTTTACTCCCCCTAAAAAAGGAAAGATTAAAGATGTAAGAAAGTTTGTCATTCTTTCCTATGCGTTTTTTCCCCAGATGGTGTTGTTATATAGCCCCGGTTGGCCTTGAACTTGTGAACCTACTGCCTCTGCCACTTGAGCCCTAGGACAAGTGCCACCACACCTAACTGCTATGATTTCATAATTCAAATTTATGACCCCAAGCCAGGCGTGGTGACATGCATCTACATTCTGAGCCACTTAGGAGGCTGAATAGGAGGACAGCTTAAGACCAGGAGTTTGAGGTCTGCCTCACATGGTGAGACTTCATCTCAAAAACCAAAGCCAAATGAATCAATCAAAACACATAGTACCTCAGTATCAGTAAACAATATTCACAATTCAGGCTTCAGAAAGATTTTTTCTTTATCTTTCTTTTTTTTTACATCAGGAATTTTAGGAGTCCCAATCGATCTGCTGTCCCATCTTAACAACCACAGAAACTGAATTAATAACTCCTGACTTTTACATAAAGCCTAGCTAGCTCACAGCCAGAACTTGCACCTGACAGGTTTAGAGGCCAAAGGCTGACACCTGGTGTCTTCTTGAGTTGTTCTGCATCGTAGTTTGGAGACAGGGTCTCCCATTGGCCCTGAGTCTGCAGACCCTCCTGTCTCTCCCTCCCCAATGCTGGGATCACTAAAGCTGGGATCTTTTTTTTTTCTTTTTTCTTAAAATGTCGTGTTGGAGATTGAACTCAGGTCCTCATGCTTGCATGGCAAATATAGAATAAGCTATTTCCCCTGAACAATTCAATGCACTCTCAAGAGACGGATAATACAGTCACTCAAAGTAACCCAAGGCTGCAGACAGAGGTGGCACACGTACTTTCCTCCGGGTCTTCACTAGTCAGGACACTGCCGGAAAGTTCCTGGACGGCAGCTCTTGACTCAGGAGTGGAGCGGTGAGGCCCCAGGTGACTGTCCCTTTGGGCTTCCCATTCCTCACTGAAGCCACCGTCATCGGTCCCAGGACTAGTGTCCTGTGTCTCCCTTTCTGCTCCTTTAAGAGAGAAGGCAGCAATTAGAGTTCTAATACTTAGAGCCATTTCTTTCATACTCTAGCGTGCAGAATCCTGGTTCAGGAAAGCGCAGCCAATTAAAACTCTACACTGAGGAACTGTGACTTGGCACTGTCTATGAGTGTTGGCATTTCCCCTTTCTTTCCTCTTTTTAAGGAAGGAAGGAATGGCTTCCATCTTCCCTGCATGTAGTCTGGATATAATGCCCAGCACTGCAACTGTCATGACCACAAGGAGAGGTCAAAGGTTGTGGAGCAGGAAATGGTAAAGAACCTGTACTCCTGTGAACTGTAGCACAAACTCTAGTTGGTCTTAAGAATAAAAGCCATGAGTCAGATATAGGGGTTAATGTTTAAGATCAGAGAATCAGAGAGGCAGCCACTAGAGAGCTCTTTGACCTCTACCGATGCTCAGACCAAAGGGGTGATCCTGTCCTCCAACTGTCTCCTCAGACTGCAGGGGAGTACTGAGCTCCTGTTTCCCCCGCCTGAAATTCCTCTCTCCACCCAGCCATATCACTCCTGCCTCCACCTCCCTAGTGCTGGGATTAAAGGCCTGTGATCCCAAGTGCTGGGATGACCTTTGTGTGATCTCTGTTTCATTTTAGACAGACTCAATCTTGTATAACTCAGGGTGGCCTTGAACTCACAGGATCCCTCTGCCTCTGTCTCCCAAGTCCTGAGATTAAAGGTGTGTGCCACCACTCCCTGGCTTCTAGTAATTTACTTCTGCACTCTGATCTTAAGGCAAGCTTCATTTATTAAAACATGAACAAAATATCACGACAGTGAACACCACCAGGGAAGGTACTGTCCAGGATTCTACCCTCAGAGCTTAAGACAGCACTGGGCATACACCCAGTATTAAGTCAGCATTTGCTAAAAGAATAAAATCTCAATATACCAAAAATACAGTCATACTCATAATATACAGTGTGCTGGATGGGTCCATGTCAACCTGCCAGTCAGAGTCATCAGAGAGGAGGGAAACAACTGGAGAAAAGCCTCCGTAAGATCGGGCTGTGGGCAAACCTGTTGGGCATCTTCTTAATTAGTGATTGATTCAGGAGAGCCTGGCCCATTGTGTGGTGCCATCTCTGGGCAGGTGGTCCTGGGTTCTGAAATGAAGCAGGCTCAGCCAGCCATGCAGCTCCCCTCCAGGGCCTCTGCATCAGCTCCTGGCACCACGTTCCTGCCCTGACTTCCTTCAGTGATAAACAGTGCTGTGGGAGTGGAAGCTGGATAAACCCTTTCCTCCCAAGTTTCTTTGGTCATGGGGTTTCTTCACAGTAATAGAAACCCTAAAACATAGTCTTTTTTTCTTTAGCTCAGTATGCCACCCAGACTTGGGGCTGGAGAGATGGGTTTGGTTCTCGGCACTCACATGGTGGCTCACAACTGTCCGTAAGTCCATGGGATCCGACGCCCTGACCTCTGCAGGTCCCAACCATGCATGTGTACATACATACATGCAGGCAAAATACTCAAACACATAAAATTAAATATATCTACATATGTATTTTAAAATTACATGGCTTCTAACAACCATTTCCAATACTTCCTCTCCTGCCTTTGATTCATTACTCCTCAAATGCCACCTTGTGCTGCTGCGTCCCTGAGAAAACGAGGTCCGACAGCTTCGAGCCTCAGCTGGGCTCCCAGCACCGTCTCCTCTCACAGCCACCAAGATGCACTCTTTTGCCTCTGTAACCAAACAGCAATGCTACCAAGGCCCACTGTTCTTCTCTTAACTATTTTTCCTTTTTTCCCCAACTTTCAAAGGATAGCCTTTCCTTTGTCTTTTTAAGAAATTTTCTTTCTGCTTTACTTTTACATCACACTATTCAATTCTTTTAAAAATTATTTATTTTTATTTTATTTGCATTGGTGTTTTACCTGCCTGTATGTCTGTGTGAGGGTGTCAGATTTTGGAGTCACAGACAGTTGTGAGCTGCCATTTGGGTGCTGGGAATTGAACCTGTATTCTCTGGAAGAGCAGTCAGTGCTCTTAACTGCTGAGCCATCTCTCCAGTCCCTGTTCTTCAATTCTTTCTGACACAGCTTCTAATTGATTTTCCTTACTGTCTTCTGTAGAATCTAGTCCTCGGTCATCACCATTATCCATCCACTGAGGTACTTAACCGTCTTAATGTGAGCATCACCACACCTCTCAACAGACATCCCGTCACCCTGGACTTGCTGGAGAAGAGTCCCTGACCCCATCCCCCTTTTGCTGACAGGCTCACACTATAGTCAAAGGCTGAACTGACAATCCTCTTGCCTCTACCTCCAGGCTGAGATTACAGATGTTCTGACTTGATTAAGGTTCTCATTTTTATCTATTTGGAGGGTGGGCGAGAAAGAGAGAGCTTTGTTTTTAAAATATACACATTAATGGCAGCATCTCAGTCCAGTATGGACTGGTAGCTTGGCAAGTATTTCAGCTCCTTAAACAGTTCTCTGTAGGGGCTGGAGAGGTGGCTCAGAGGTTAAGGGCACTGGCTGCTCTTCTAGAGGTCCTGAGTTCAACTCCCAGCAACCATATGGTGGCTCACAATCGTCTGTAATGAGACCTGGTGCCTTCCATGCCAACATTACATTGTATGCTTAATAAATAAATAAATCAAAAAAAAAGTTCTATGTGCATTTACCGGGGTGGCCAGTTTTTCTAGGAGATTCTGTGACATCTGTCATTGTCACACATCCTCTACGCCCAGGGCTTCTCAAATGGCAAGCAAGTGCTCTGTCCTGAGCTCCAGCAAGGAGAGTATGATCAAAGGGAAGGTTTAAATCACTGCTTCATAACCTCAACTATTTATCTACAAATGACAATGAGCCTGTAAAACCAGGACAGTTAGCAATGAGTGTCACCTACTTTGTGTGTTATACTTGGGGTTTTTGGGTACCCTTCTTTGGGCTTCTGGGTCTCCTTCGGCCATGTTCACCAGCCACACCATTGTTGCTGTCGAGAAAGACAAAGTTTCTGGTGAGTTCTTACAGCCCAGGACACTGCGCTAGCAAGCAAAAGGCTGTTACTTCTGCAGCCACTGGTCTGTGAAGTCACTCAAATGTTAAACAATCAGAAGTAACTGAGGGTTAAAACACAGTAAAAGACTGCAGGTGAAGGAACAAATATAACCTAGTCTACAGAGCGAAATCCAGGATGGGCTCCAAGCCTACACAGAAACCCTGTCTTGAAAAAACAAACATACAAAAACAAAACAAAAAAGGAGAAAGGAAGGGAGGGAGGGAGGGAGGAAGGGAGGGAGGGAGGAAGGGAGGAGAAAGAAAGAAAGAAAGAAAGAAAGAAAGAAAGAAAGAAAGAAAGAAAGGAAGGAAGAAAGAAAGAAAGAACTGGTTAGAGCCATGAATGCACTGGCTGCTCTTGCAGAGGACCCATGTTTGATTCCCAGTACCCACACAGTGGCTCAGAACCATCCGTAAATCCAGACTTCTGAGCTCAGAGGGCACTAACACAGTATCACTCCGGCATACTTACAGGAATAGATAAGAGCTGGAAAGAGAGTTTCATTTCTTTCCTGAGCTGTTTCAACCAGCATACGAAGTGGACCTTTGGGGCATAAAACAGCCACCAAATCTAGAAAGAGAAAAATAAAAAAGACACCCAATAAAATATATTGAACTGTGTAAATGAGGACATGCTGGGGAGGACTTAACTGAGGGGCAGGCTTAATGCATCTGACAAAGGAGTGCGGGGAAAATATGGAAATGCTTGAAGCTACGTAAGAAAAAGAACAACCTAAACAAAATGAAACAGAAGAGCTGTGCAAATTACACTTCGGCCTTCCTGCCGTGTGCCCAGTCTCCAGTGTATGATTAGTGGGGTCTAGACACGACTCTTGGCTGGAAGGAGAGAGGCAGCAGCAGCAAGAGAGAACTGTTCTAGAGTAGTTCTCAATCTGTGACAGCACAGTGGCAGGGAGTCATTTTCAAATAATTCCACCTACAGATTACAGACCGACGCTTTGGAGGAGAGCATCCTTTCTTTAAAGACAGCGGAATGGGGGTGTGCTGTGGGGGCGCACTTGTCCAGCACGTGAGCCTGAACTTGGCCCCCAGCATCTCAGAACAAGCACACTTAACTAAGGAACTTGCAACAAGAGGGCAACACATTTAAATAAAATAATAGCTTCTTTGTATGACAAAGTTTAATATTTTTTCAGTTTCCAGTCAAATAAAGTACTTCACAAATATTTAGGTCTCAGAACATATGTGGAGCTAAAAACTGACTCAGAGAGGAGGCAATATGCCTAAACTGTGTCTGATGTGACACCATTTTCTTCCATAGACTATAATTTTTCTTGTATTTTCTGTTCTAGAAATTCAGAAAATAACCTCAAACATTTAAAAATATCAAACAGGCACTCTAAAATTGCAAAGGAAGGCCTGACAGCCGACATCAGGCCACTGAGAGGCTTGCAGTGGCCATGTGTCTGCAGAGCAAGAACACAGCACAGCGCTCTCCTCTCAGCACCTCCACTCGAATAAGTCCAAGTGAGGAAAGTGGATTTCCTGTGCTGACAGCTAATGAGATCTTCAGCTGGGTTAAAGGGACCACATCCTGCAACTATTCTGGTTTTATGATATGTTTCCCTTATAGAATTTTGAAATGAATAGATTCAGTTATTTTTAGGGCAATTGAAATGAATGTAAATTAATTTACTTAAAAGTTTTCAGAACACTTCTGGCAAAACATCTTGATGCTTTGTAAGAAATGGAGTCGAGAGTCACTATCTGACACTGGGCACAGCTCTTCCATGTTCTGAAGACCCAAAGCTCTGAGGAGGTTTCACCTGTGCTATGAGCAGGGGCCTGAGGGTCATGGAGAGAATAAGACGGGCTGAGAATTCAGATTTTAGGTCAAGTCACATGAGATTAGGCAAATATTTTACCTCTGTAAATAGACAGATGGTAGATTTACAAAGCATCACTAAGATGAGTTTCCATGAGAGTGGGGCACAGAGTAAAGGACTTCTCTAACCCCGATTAGCTGCTCTATTCCCAAAGGTTTTTCTCCATCAGTTCAAGAGAGAATGACAGATTCCAGCTACAGGTCACCACATACTTCCATGCTCTTTAGAATGGTGAGCACTGAGAAGTCTCTGAGAAGGGATCTCTTTGGCTTTCATGTGGAGCAAGAGCTGCAGAATAAAGCTAGTCCCCCTGTTACTCATGACTACAGTATTACTGTGACTTTTTCAGGACCCATGTCACAGCAGTTGTGAAAGAATTAGAATCTTTAATTGTCCAAAAGCATGTTTACAATTTTTTAAATTTAAATTATGCGTATGTATGTGGGTGCCGTGAACTGAGTTCTGGTCCTCTACAGGAGGGTATGCACCCTTAACTCCTGACCTAGCTCCCCAGTCCCAAGGTTTGCTTTTATTATCGAACTGATAGAGGTTTTTGTTTGTTTTAGTTTATTTTTCATGACAGGGCTTCTCTGTGTAACAGTCCTGGCTGTGCTGGAACTTCCTCTATAGACCAGGCTGGTCTCAAATTCAGAGATCTGCCTGCCTCCGCCTCCCATGCCACCATGCCTGGCTGTAAAATACTAGGTTCTTATTGAGAACTTTTATGCCAGTTCTTAATGGAGGCAGAGGTCCTTGTACTCACAGAGAAGCACTAAGAGAAGCAGGAATGTTAATCACACAGGGGTGTCTCCTCACTGGAGGAGATACAAATCAAATATCTAGATTCCATCCAGAAAGCTGTCAATGGATTCTGTTAATGACCTGGTGACCTTTATCCGGAGACAGACTTCACCCTAATTCCCCAGAATGATTATTCCAGACTTTTCCCTTCCTAAACCATTACACATTCTTAGGGGAGATGTTGCAAGTACTTTATGGCCTGCTGACCTCTATGCTATGGTCAGAGATCACACTAGATTCTAGGCCTTCTAGCTATAGAACCCACCCTCACAGTCACATGGTCTTTGTTGGTACACCTTAAGCTTTATTGTGCACCTGGAATTGGACTGATTGTTGCCTGGAAACCTTTCCCCAAATTGTACTGTGTTTTAAACAAAGTCAACGATGAACCGCCTGGCATTAGACTCCCTAAACTTGATCCAGGTTGATGTAGTCAATCTGCGCCAGGTTGGGACCCCTCAAGTTATGTGCTCTACCCACAGGTCTTTCTGTAGATTTAACTTCAAATACAATAAGCAAGCAGGCATTAGGCTTGTTTTACAAATGTAAACCTCATTCTCAGAATTTTTTTTTTTTTTTGAAAAAGGTTTTAAAGGGCCCAGGTTGGTCTCAAACTTATTTTTTTTTTTTTTTAAGTCTTTTGAGACAGGGTTTCTCTGTAGCTTTGGGAGCCTGTCCTGGCACTAGCTCTTGTAGACCCGGCTGGCCTCGAACTCACAGAGATCCGCCTGCCTCTGCCTCCCGAGTGCTGGGATTAAAGGCGTGCGCCACCACCGCCCGGCGGTCTCAAACTTATTATATTAGCTATGGATAACCTTGAAACCGCTGGTCCTCCTACCTCTACCGATCAAGTACTGAGATCACAGTTGTGCACACATCAGTAAAAATGTCATCTTTAAAGGGGTGATTCCACTGAAGTTGCTATATGATTTTGACCTTACAAATGAACTGAAGAGGGGCTGGAGAGATGGCTGAGTAATTAAGAGCACTAACTGCTCCTCCAAGGGACCTGGGTTCAATTCCCAGCACCCATATGGCAGCTCACAATTGTTTGTAACATAGTTCTAGGAGACCCAACACCCTCAACTCAGACATATATGCAGGCAAAATACCAATGCATATGAAATAAAAATAAGTTATTTTAAAAAGATAAAGGTGGCTAAGAGGTTAAGAGCACTGGCTGCTCTTCTAGAAGACCTGGGTTCAATTCTCAGGACCCACAAGGCAGCTCACAACTGGATGTAAATTCAGTTCTAGAGTATACGGCATCCTCTTCTAGACTCTGCAGCACAAGGCCTGTGTGTCATGCATAGATATACAGGCAAATACTCGCAGACATTAAAAAAAGAATGTCAAAAAAAAAAATGAGTTGGGGGCAGAGAGGTGGGTCAGCTGAGGTACCTGGACCTGCCTGTAGAAGGGGAGCACTAACTCCAGAGGTTGTTCTCTGACCTCTATACTTACGCTACAACACAGGCCTTTATATAAAAAATTATCTACTAATTCTTTTTTCTTTTTTTTTTTTGGTTTTTCGAGACAGGGTTTCTCTGTGGTTTTGGAGCCTGTCCTGGAACTAGCTCTGTAGACCAGGCTGGCCTCGAACTCACAGAGATCCACCTGCCTCTGCCTCCCGAGTGCTGGAATTAAAGGCGTGCGCCACCACTGCCCCGCTATCTACTAATTCTTTTTTTTTTTTAATTTATTTATTTATTATATATACAGTTTCCAGGATACAGTGCCAGATCTCATCACAGATGGTTGTGCGCCACCATGTGGTTGCTGGAAATTGAACTCAGGACCTCTGGAAGAGCAGCTAGTGCTCTTAACCTCTGAGCCATCTCTCCAGCCCCTATCTACTAATTCTTAAAGAATAAACTCAACATTCTACATGTGTTGGGCGGCTGCTAGCACTTCTCAGTATATATTCAATTCACTGAACTCATATTCCTGCATACTTGTTCCCAACTTACCAGGAAATCAAAGCTCAGTAAAACTACTGATCATATTTTGCTTTTTTGCTTACTGTTGTCTAGGGGACTAAAGCCAGGACCTAACATATGCTAAGAGAAAGAACTGGCTCTAAATCTTCTGACCAGAGAACTATGGTTCCTCTCATCAATTCGGCACACACAGAGTTAAAACTGCAAGTCCTTACTCTCAGGGCTGGAGATGGGGCTCATGGCACAGCACGTGCCTAGCACCAACTAGTTCCAGATAAAATCCTCAGCACTTTAAAAGGAAAGAACACTAAAGAGCTATGAGAAATAGCCATTAAGATTTTCCTTAAATCAAGAGAACTAGAAGAGGAAGGAAAACACCAGCAAGTATTTCCGTGATGAACAAAGTGTCAGTCTTGAGTTTTACCATATACTGAGATCACAGCCAAGATGAGCCATGCGGTCCACTCAGGGAGGTACTTGATAAATACCAGGGCCATCAGAGCACTGATCATAATGAGATAGGCCTGCTGCAGTCGAAGTGGGCCTTTCCAGTGAATGGCAATCATCCCCACCACACCAAAGTTCCAGATGAGCAGAGCAACTGTAATGTAGTCCACGGCAACATTGTAGGTCTTAAAGACTTCCCTGGAAAAATAAACAAGGATTTAAGGTGACTTCTGTGTAATTCTCATGTTACATAGTTTAGAACTAAATTCTGAAACATCAACTCTCAGATTCCATTTTTATGTTTTTACTATGGCCCATGCTGTACTGTTATTTTTTTTAAAGATTTATTTATTTATTATATATACAGTATTCTGGTTGCATGTATGCCTGCAGGCCAGAAGAGGGCACCAGACCTCATTACAGATGGCTGTGAGCCACCATGTGGTTGCTGGGAATTGAACTCAGGACCTCTGGAAGAGCAGTCAGTGCTCTTAACCTCTGAGTCATCTCTCCAGCCCCTGTACTGTTATTTATGTAACATCTTTTTAAAATCACACTTTCCTCAAGCAGAACTTATTTTAACAGGTATTACATTATTCACATTAATGAATGAATTTCATTAATACAGGTCACACCTATAAAAATAAGAGCAAAAACTAAAAGAATTAAATCATATTGTCTATAATACCATATTTATTCAGAAATCCTAAAGTATCTGAAACTAAAAAAAGGACCAATCAGATTTATAGCAGAAACATAAATATTTTCATAATGAAACTTATGGTATCCATTACAAAACATAAATTTTATACAAATACACATGCAAAGAATATAGTTTGACACACTGTTGCTACAGAAACAAAGAAACAAACCCCAATCCCACTAATGAGAAAAGTGTCCAAGAACACAGCCTGAACCCAGGCGGGGGTGGCACATGCCTTTATTCCCAGCAAAGGAAAAGAGAACTGAGCTGGAGATTCATCTATTAATCTCTAGAAGGACGACTGGACTTCCCTTTACTCACTCACTCACTCACTCACTCACTCATTCATCCTGGTTTTTCGAGACAGGATTGCACTGTGTAGCTCTGGCTGTCCTGGAACTCACTTTGTAGACCAGGGTGGCCTCAAACTCCCAGACTGTCTCTGCCTCTCAAGGGCTAGGATTAAAGGCGTGTGTCACCACCTAGGTAGGTTACCTTTATTCTTACACAATGCCTTTTATTTAGAGTGTCTGTGTGAGGTGGCGTGAGCTCGCGGGAGCTTGCCAACACGGGACCAATACCTAGGGAGCCTGCACAGGACCAACCTAGGCCCTCTGCATGCGTGTGACAGTTGTGTGACTTGATCTGTTTGTGGGGCTCCCAGCAGTGGGGTCTGGACCTGTCCCACTTTTTGAACTGACTTTTGGGAAGCCATTCCTTATGCTGGGTTGCCTCACCCAATTTGATGCAGGGGAAGGAGCGTGGTCCTGCCTCAACTTGATGTATCATGCTTTGTTGACTCCCTTGAGAGGCCTGTCCCTTTCTGAATGGAGTCAGAGAAGGAGTGGATGGGTAGATGGTAGATGGGAGGTGGGGGGAGGGAACAGAAGAAGAGGAGGGAGGGGAAACTGGTATGTAAATAAAGAAAAATTAATAAAAAAATATAATAGAAGAGACAGAAATCTTTAATTAATTAATAAAGAAATAAATTAAAAAAATATAAGAGTATCTGTGCGGTGCTAGGAAAAAATGTAATGCCTCGCGCATACTAAGCATGGGCTCCTCCACTGATTTATCCTCCTAGCCCTTTAAGGAAAAGAATGCTTAGCACTCTGTGTGGTGTATGTGGGTAGGCTCGCCTACAAGGGCATACGCAGAGGCATGAACTTGACATCCACCTTATTTTTTGAGACACCATCTCTCACTCAACTTGCTGCTGCTGTTTGGCTAGCTTGACTGGCCTGCAAGTGCCTGGGATCTGTCCATTTCTGTCTCCCACTGCTGGGGTTATAGGAGCTTGCCACTCTACCCGGCTTCTACGTGGGTTCTGGGTATCCAAACCCAGGTTCTGATACTTGACCAGCACACAGTGCCACATGAACCAACTCCCCAGACCCTGCTTAACTTTTTCAGATGAAGAAAATTACCATTTTAACTTCTGGAGAATAAAGTCTATCATCTAAAGAGACTGCAACTACAGGAGATGTCCTAAGTAGCTAGAGAGAAAAAATATATTTAAGCACAAACTGTGGGCCAAGGGGATGATCCAGAAGATGATTTTTCTCCTATTTTGAAATTCTAAAATAAAGTAAAATGTTGATATTTCTGAATGAGGTTGCAACGTGTATTATACTAATCATTTCAAAAATAGGAAAATCAAACTAATCTCAACTCTTAGGGAGATATGCGTAAGTTAATACAGGATGGACAACAGGTCTCCCTCCCCTGTCCCACAGTTCTGTTCTCTAGGAAAAACACTGCTGTATTAGCTTTGTTATCCTCCCAGAGTCTACTAATGCATACTTTATTTTCACGCCGGCTGAAGATGGGCTTGCCCTCAATCGGTAACAGAGGATGACCCAGAACTACTGATCCTGCTGCCTGCACACCAGGCTTATGTGGTGGTGGAAAAGGAATCCAGGCTTTCTACCAACTGAGCTACTTCCCCAGCCCCCCAAATACACATATTCTTTTTTTTTTTTTTTTTTTTGATTTTCGAGACAGGGTTTCTCCGTAGCTTTTTGGTTCCTGTCCTGGAACTAGCTCTTGTAGACCAGGCTGGCCTTGAACTCACAGAGATCTGCCTGCCTCTGCCTCCTGAGTGCTGGGATTACACATATTCTTATTAGATACAAATGACAGTCTATTACACTCAGTTCTGAAAGCGTTTTGTTCTTTAACTTTTTTTTTTAATTTTTATGTGTATGAGTGTTTTGTCTGAATATATGTATGTGTACTGGTCTGTGGACCTGGTTGGTGCCGGAAGAAGTTGGAAGAGGATGGGGGACAACTGACACCTCCAAGTTGCCCACATGTATAATGTGGCACGAGGTCCCCACCTCTCTATTTGGCCAGCAAGATGGCTCAGTGTAGTGAGGAGAGAGGGCCTGCTTCTGCTTTTGGTCTCGTCCCACCTGCTAGTTTACACCAGAAATAATCACACAGACTGTATTCATTTAAACACTGCCTGGCCCATTAGCCCTAGCCTCTTATTGGCTAATTCTCACATCTTGATTCAACCCATTTCTAATAATCTGTATGTCACCACGAGGTCATAGCTTACCAGGAAAGATGTAGCATGTCTGACCTGGCAGCTCTACCTTCTTCCCAGCATTCAGTTCTGTCTACTCCACCTAAGTGCTGCCCTATCAAAAGGCCAAGGCAGTTTCTTTATTCAACCAATGAAAGCAACACATAAATAGAAAGGCTTCCTATACCAGATCAGTGGGTAAAGGCAAGCCTGACTCCCTGAGTTTGATCCACAGAACCCAGAGTGGAAGGAGAAAATGGACTTCTAAGGGTAGTGATGAAGAGGCCAGGAAACTGTATTACTTACCCCAAGTAAATGAATGAAAAAAAGAACAGCAACAACAGAGATGAAACAATAAGCCAGGCATGGATGACCTAGAAGAGAGAGAGCTCAAATATAACCAACAGACTCCATAACTCCTAAACAAGGAACAGGGTACATGCTATCTCTCTGTTTTGTTTTATTTGTTGTTCTTGTTTTGTTTTTGGTTTGTTGTTGTTTTTCCTTGTGCTGCTTGGGATGAAACCTGTGACTTGGCACATGCTGGCAACTGTTATATTACCAAGTTCTAATCCATGCCCATGTTTACTTTTAAATGGCAGAACAAATGTGGCTTTGGGATCAGTGAATAGTTAGTTATTCAGAAATCGTGGGTGCTAATCAGAGTGTAAAACAGAAGTGTCATAAAGATACATATATACATACATGCACACAAACAGTTAACATATTTTCTTTTTTTAGTTCTTTTATAAAAGAAACAAAAGACATCACTTGGCATTTACTTGCCAAAACACATAGATAATAATTCCTATTATTTATTCTGGCCCATAATTGGAAAGAAAAAAAAGATGAGCAAAAAAGTGTTGGGACTGGAGAGATGGCTCAGTGGTTAAGAGTACTGACTGCTCTTCCAAAGGGCCCAGGTTCAATTCCCAGTACCCACATGCAGTTCACAACTGTCTGTGACTCCAGCTCCAGGGGATCTAGCATCCTCACACAGATATAGCAGCAAGCAAAACCCCAATGTAATAAAAAAATAAATAAATCTTAAAAAAAAAGAACAACAAAGGGGCTAGAAAGATGGCTCATTGGTTTAAGAATATACGGTGCTCTTCCTGAGACCCTGAGCTAGGTTTCCAGTACCGTGCCCCAAACTGGACAGCTTTTTAGGAGATCTGAAACTTCTGGCTTCCATGGACAGCTGCACACATGTGCAGATACTTACACAAACATGCAAAACATGTAAAACACCAATAAACCAATTAAAAATTCCTGTTTATATACATCCTTAAAAGCCTTTAAATTTTTTTTTTGACATAATATAGCAAGGTATGCTGGGTTACAACTCATGGTAAAGGGCTTTCATAATATGCAGAAGAGTCCTGGGTTCAATTTCTAGTGTTGCAGGAATTAAAAATAAAGCAACAACAACAAAAGCAACAAGTACCCACAAAATTTAGAAAACATAAAAACACTGAAAGAAAACATTTTCTCCTCGCATGGTTTTCACCTGCAAGTGTCAGCATGTACGCAAGTCTTCTAACAAAACGTAAGTTGTATACAGCTTTTATTTATGCCTCTGAAAACAATCTGGTTTGAGGGGTGGGTAGATTAGCCACAAACTCATAATCCTTCTGCCTTAATCCAGGCATTATAGGGGTCTGCCACAACTGCCAGCTATACTTCATCTTTATTAGAGACATATTCACATAGCACACCAAATATTTTTTGAAACATGCTTTTTAAATATTCCACTCGCATGTATGAATTTACAATCTAGACTTTCCCTACATATGGAATCTGTTTTATAAATACTTATATATATTTAATAATCTTTCTCCCCATCCAATTATTATTTTTATTATCATGAATGTCCTAGCATACATCTTTTTCTTTCTGGATTTTCAGTTCTTTCACAGAAACTAATTTTAAAAATTACTTAAATTTGCCACATGGTGGTGGCACACGCCTTTAATCCCAGCACTTTGGAGGCAGAGGCAGGTGGATCTCTGTGAGTTCGAGGTCAGCCTGGTCTACAGATGGAGTTCCAGGACAGGCTCCAAAGCTACAGAGAAACCCTGTCTCAAAATTCTTCCACCCCTCCCAAAAAAAGTTACTTAAATTTAATTAAAAGTCTACTAAGTTTTCCTAATTACTTGATCATTAATAAACACTGGCTAATAGTTACAAAAAGGACTAATCACATCAATGTGCCAAATCCGTTAATCTGATTTATTTTAGCATGCATTTATGTTTCCACTAATGAAGAAACACATCGACACACCCCTACCTGTTTATCAGCCACCAATGTCCCCTCCTAACTTCTGACAGGCTATCTGTCCCTTTTCTTTCTATGTCCCTCACCTGTAATGAGGTTGATCCCCTAGGACTCTCATGACTTTTCTGATGACTAAAGAGCACTTGAGGACAAGACAGCTTTCTATTCTCTTTAAGTCTCCAAGCTTAGCGCCACTGGTAAAGGCTCTGAAAGTTGGGCGTTCTGCTCTGTTCCCAGCTGTGAGCACTTTCTCTAAACCTGAGCTATGCAGGCCAGCAATCTCATGGCTTTTAAAGCTACAGGTCATCTGCCACAAGTCATGTGTCATAGACAACTGCCTTTCTGTGTCTACCCCTGTAAGGTTGTTTTCTGCTGTTTTGTTTTGTTTTTGCTTGTTTGGCTTCTTGGAAAAACCACAGAATCAAACTACTGACAGAAGAACTCCTCAGGGTTTATTTTTAAACAGGTCCCAGCAAGCTTCTGAATGCCTGGCTCAAGCTCCTTCTACTTCACACAAGAAGTCAAAGTAAACAACATTCTTCTAAAGAACTGGGGATGCTTCTTAAGACTGCAATATTAACAAGGAAACAACACAAATGAGCAAGTGGAAATGGAAATAAACTTTCAAATTTAGCATACTTAACAGATGTAAAGAACTGACCCAAATATGTTAAGATCAGGTCTAGCTATGGCAGAATAAGCACATTCCATGTGTCTCAGCTAGCTGGGCACTAAGAGAAGGGGCGGGCAGCTGGGGAAGTCCAAGTAGTGCCACTTAGGTTCCACCCACTCCCACACAGAGTCCAGCAGAGCTGGCACTAGAAAGACAACGGCATTCTGCAAGTCCCTTGCCCCTTTTCAGTTCTACTTAAGTCCAGCCACCCACCAGCCCTGAGTGGGAGAAAGTGGCCGTTGGGGCCCTGGGGACTCTTCACTGGTCACCAGGGAATGAGACAGCTGCTCTACTTCTCTCTGACTCCCCATCTTTCCATCCCGACACCAGGGAAAGAGTCTCAGTGTCTGGTTAGAGGAACCAAAAAGAAAAGTCTAGAGAAATGAAAAGTCACCTCTGGAAAGCCATTCATGAGGTCATGGGACTATCTCCCAGGAAGCATATGTGACCACAACTCTCATTTATGTTTATGGGTGTTTTGCCTACATGTATATCTGTGCATCCTGTGAGTCTGGTAGTGGTAGAGGTCAGAAGAGGATGTTAAATTCCCTTCAACTGGAGTTACAAGCAGTTGTGAGGTGCTAGGATTTGAACTTAGGTCCTCTGGAAGAGTAGCTAGTGCCCTTAACTGCTGAGCCATCTCTCTCCAGCCTCTGGTTTTTGCTGTTTTTTTGAGACAGGGTTTCAGTAAAAAACTGTCTGGCCTAAATTATATAGATTGGACTAGTCCATACTATGCATGCATGCACGCACACACACACACACACACACACACACACACACACACACACACACAAGCACTCACGCACACAAACAGACAAAATACCTGAATTTTTTTGTTTGTTTTTTCAAGACAGGGTTTCTCTGTAACTTTGGAGACTATCCTGGAACTAGCTCTTGTAGCCCAGGCTGGCCTCGAACTCACAGAGATCCACCTGTCTCTGCCTCCTGAGAGCTGGGACTAAAGACATACACCACCACACATGGCATTGAAGTTTTTTTAAGATTTTATTACTTACTTTTATTTTATGTGTTTTAGTGTTTTGCCTGCATGTCTGATTATGCACCATGTGTACACCTGGTCCCTGCAGAAGCCAGAAGAGGACATCTGATCCCCTGGAACTAAGTTTATAGATGGTTGTGAGCCACCATGTGGGTATTAGGAATTAAATCTGGGCCATCTGGAATAGTTCTTAATCATTGAGCCATCTTTCCAACCCCACTGAAAGTTTTACATGTTTATTATAATTTTTAGCCTTTAATGCAGAGAACATATGTGGGAACATAACTTCCCAACCAGGGAAGTACTGTCAAGCATGTGTAAATAGTTTCCGTGAGGCACAGAAAGAGAAAGCAGTTTTTAGGAATTGAGGACAAGATTTGAGAGGATTTTTACATAATGGCTATGAGTCAATCAAGGCCAAATTCTGGACTAAAATTCCCAAACTGAGTCACTCGCTTCTGACGCACAGCAACTGTGACCCTGCTTCCATACCTCAACTGTAAAGCTGAGAGAACAGCGGGGCCTCCACATGCAACAAGGCAGATGTGAACAGAGTTTGCTATACTGTTGTCACTGCATAGAAAAAAATTAGAGGGAAGTAGAGGTAACTTACAGACGGTGGTTTCTTTTCTATATATGAAAATGTTAAAATTCACAGAAATAATATTCCAAAATTACCGGGGGGGGGGGGGGAACTTCAGGAAATACAATGCTGAATCCACAGCTCTCTATCCAGGCACACAGGTGATTTTGAAAAAGAAAAGCAAGAAATCTGGGAGTGGGAGGATATAAACTTGGGAGAAGGCAGAATCCCACCCCTAATTAAGTCTGAAAAGGAATCAAAGAAAAAGCCTAGCCTATAATCAGTAAGCTCCAGAATGTGCCCACTAAGCCAAGAAAGGGGCTGGCAGGTAAACACTGCATGCAGACACACATACACAGCCGCAGTGGGATGGGCACAGAGAACCCTAAAGAACACAACATTCAAGGAAGGGAGGGCTTAGGCATTTGCTTCTGTTTCTGAATGTTTGACGACCTCTCAACATCACGTACTTTTCCTCTTCAGTGGCCTCCACAAAATGTCAGACAATGCTTACGCGTCAGGCTAACACCACCACGCGCTCAAAGGTTCATCTAGCAAGGTTAGATTATGAGCTCAGAGCCATGGGTATAGAAAATAATTTGATTTTGACTAGCAGTCAACTGAGTTTCACCCTATAAAAATGTGCGTGTGTGCACGCACGAGTTTTATTTTGTACATGGTACAGGGTTGTACCATGTAGCCCTAACTAGTAATAGAACAGGCTGGCCTCAAACTCACAAATAGCTATCTGCCTCTGATGAATATATGTGTCACCACATTTGGCTTAACTAAGGGTATTTTACCAAAAGGGGCAAAATTTACACTGGTGAAGGTTAAAATACAGATATTCCACTTGCTATTGGTGATCAATTCAAATTGTAAATCTTTTTGAAAAATAATGTCATGGACTAGTGTGCTAGCTGGGTGGCTATGAGTTCTCAGTGTTCTTCCAGAGGACGTGATCTGGTTTCCACGCCCACGTCAGGCAGCTCATCAGGAGACCCCAGGCTCTCTTCTGGCCTGCACATATGTGGTGGACAAACATGCACACACACATAAATACAAAATCAATCTTAAAAACAAAACAATAATGGTTCTGGAGCTATGGCTCAGCAGGTTAAGGTACCTGCTTTTCCAGAGGATCAGAGTTCAACTCCCAGTACCCACATGGTGGCTCAGAAACATCTAACTCTAGTTCTTGGGGATTCAACACCCTCTTCTGACCTCGGAAGACACCAGGCATATATGTGGTATATGTATGTACGTACATAAAAAGTACTCATACACATAAAACAAAACAAGTAAGTCTAAAAACAAATTTGGCACACTAAGAGTTAAAAACCTGTAGAAAGCCAGTTGTGGCACACACCTTTAATCCCAGCACTCAGGAGGCAGAGGCAGGTGGATCTCTGAGTTTGAGGTCAGCCTGGTCTACAGAGGAAGTTCAAGGACAGCCAGGGCTACACAGAGAAACCCTGTCTCAGAAAAAATATAAACAAAAAAAAAAAACCTCCAAAAACCTTCTAGATGATTAAAATTTTAAGTTTAGGATTTTACCCTAAGGAAGTAACTGGAAAAGGTCTATTCATAAAGACATTACCTTTACAGTAGTAAACAGAAACAATGTCCGAAATCAGAGAGCTCAGAAGATAAAAATTATACTTATCAAGCTAAATATTACATAGCTACAGAAATATTTTCTAAGCCTTTATGCCAATAAAGTGTTAAGAAAAGGACGCACACTGACCATACATTTTAGCCACAGAAAATATACACAGAGGAAATTAGACTGTAATATCTAGAGAGTTAACACTTAGTATTCCTATTATTTGAGAATGATCTGAAGCGTCTATGACTTGCAGTGACTTGTTATTTCTCTGGGATACGAGTCTGAAGTATGCGCTAGATGACTGAAATTCAGGAAGCTGTCACTTAGTGAGAGAGGAGGAGGAGGAGAGGTTTGAGGCCGGCCTCATCATTACTGCACCATCTCCCTGTAGCCAGGGCAAGAGAGCACACAAATGGTGCTGAGAGTTCTCAAGTGAGCTAGCCAGTCACTGCTGAGTTTAACAGCAGCATCTGAAGTTGGCTTTATGAGACGCTTAAATCCTGTAGTGCTATTTGTCAATAAGGATATACACAAAAGTCTTAGGGTACATCCCTTTGGAATGCCACAGGCACAATATAAATTAAAATAATGAAGCTATATGATCTTTGTTTTGTGTTGTTTTGTTTGTTTTTGTTTTTTCAAGACAGAGTTTCTCTGTGTAGCCCTGGCTGTCCTGGAACTCACTATTGTAGACCAGGTTGGCTTCGAACTCACAGAGATCCGCCAGCCTCTGCCTCCAGCATGCTGGGATTAAAGGAGTGCGCCACCACCATTGTGCTACATGATCTTCTTACATGGAAACATCTGTTTCCCAGTCATGTCTTGGTACTTTAAACATGCTCCAGAATGAAAGGAAAGAAAAATAGCTAAAACTTAGATCCAGATAAAAGGCACGTTTTTCTTTATTAGTCAAGTATATAATAAGACGAGAAGGTTGTGAAGCGGCTCAAGAGGTCAATGCAAGTGTTTACCACCTTGAGTATTGGATAACTAGAACCCACGGAAAGATGGAGAAAACCTATTTCACCAAGTTGTCTTCTCCACTGTGCATGTACACTGGCAAGCACAGCTTCCCCACACACATACCCTCCCTGCCCACCTCTATCACACACACGCACGCGCACACACACACACACACACACACACACACGTACGCACGCACACGCATACGCACACGCACCCTCTCTCTCCTTCCTACATACTAACAAAGTTTGGAAAGATCAAGACAGAAAGCTAAGCTGTGTCATGCTCACCTTGTAGCACCGGTATTTATAAAGAACCACCAGGAGGATGGTCATAACGACGATGACACTAATCATGATGGCAGCATTCAGAATCGAGTGCAGGGCTCTCTGGCCTACAGTCTCAGTGTCTTCTGTGAATGGGGTATAGATTCTAGAGGGAGGGAGGGAGAGAAAAAAAAAACAATACGAAAGTGTTAATGGATATCTCAAACCATATACTCCCTTTAAAACTGTATTTAATTGTGATGCCTTTGATTAACTGAGTGCTGTAGAATGTACCTTTCACAGTTAATCAGACAATTAAGAATTTTTTTTGGTTTGGTTAGTTTTTTGAGACAGAATCTAGTAAATAACTCCAAGCTAGCCTGAAATTCACCATGTAGCCCGGGCTGTACTTGAGTATGTGATCTTCCTGCCTCCACTTTTCAACTGTGGGGATTATAGGTCTGTATCACTCTGGTGCTAACCAACAATTTTTAAGAATACACATACACACACATACACATTATTATTTTAAGTTTTGTGTGAGTGTGTGTGCGCGCACACATGTGTGTGCAGATGTTCATGAAGGGCAGAGGCATCCAATCACTTGCAGCTGCAATTAAAGGCAGTTATAAGGTCCCTGGTAGGGGTGTTATGAATCAAACTCAAGATGTCCACAAGAGTAGTACAACCTCTTAATTGATGAGCCATTTCTCGAAACCTCTAGCTAAGAATTTTTAACCTAAGAAAAATAGCTATCCTCTAAAAGCACTGCTTCAGGTAAAAGGAAACAGCTAGACTCTGCAGAGATGCACTCACACACGAGCCAGGCACTGGCTCCATCTAGTGGATGCTGTGTACTGGAGTAATAATCTCACCCAATGTTTTCTCCATGGATCATTAGAATCTGTTAAATAGCCAGGATCTGCCATATAAACTACCTAGGAAAACGACAATTATTAGAGGGGGGAACAAGGTTTGAACCACTGTCTTTTATCTGTAGAATGATTACAATAGAAGCTGTCTTCTCCTTGTTTTTCACTTACATAAAAATACCTTTATTTCTGGTGCCAAGGCTCTTGGCCCAGTGACTTTTCTTCTGTCCCTATAGCAGATGTGGTCATGAGAACTTTGAATATGTGTTCTAAGGAAGGAGTGCCCTTGCTAAGTCATGGCTACATCTCCTTCCCAACTTCCTCCTGCTGTCTGAATGAAGGCTGAGGTTCTAAGTCTGGACCCTGGAGGAACCACAGGACAGAAGTGGAAGAAAGGAGCTCAGGTGCTTCATGAATAAAAGACTAACAGACCAGTGCTGGGCTGCCTACCCCTGCTCTACTCTGAGAGAAACTTGAGTTTCTGTAACAGGGTCATAAAGCTGGGTATGGTAGTACACACTTGTAATCCTAGCACTCAGGAGGCTGAAGCAGGAGGATCAAATACTTGAGGCTAGCCTAGACTACACAATGAATTCCAGACCAGCCTGAGACACAGTGAGAAACACTAGTAAAGGATCTAGTTCTAGCAGAAGACGAGGCAGTTATAGTTAAAGATTTAACAGGCAAGCCAAGAAGAGGACAATAGTTGGCCTGGAATATGCATAAAGCAGAAACTGGCCGTGAGTTCCTGATGACTCCTTCTCCACCCCCAGAGCTAAGATTACAGGCAAATGCTAGTCACCATGCTGTATCTCAACCTCCATATCCAGGGCTCATAAACCTCTAAACTCCCACGAGCCATTTCCCAAGTACTAGGATTGCAGGCCCATGCCAACCATGCCACTGCCTGGCTGAAAAGTAAGAATTCGATTCAAAATAGAACAGCAACAACAAAGAAGCTCCAGCAGTCCAAGAGTAAGAATGATGGCCCAATGGTCCTGAGACAGGAAAGACAACGGCCACCCTGTTCAGTGTCACATAAACTCAGCTCCACCCATGACTGCATCCTGGGAAGAATTCTCCATCGTTCTTTCTGTCACTGAAAGTATCAAGTAATCAACCACCGTCATCCCTACTGGCTCTGGCAATCAGAAAAGATGGCTCTACCATGCTCTGTGAGTACAGAGGTCTCAAGGGGATAACAACAGGCTCTGATATGGAAAAAGTCCCACTGGCCTTGAGAATGAAACACTAATACATACAGCTGCCCATCTTTCCGAGTATAGAAGCTGACGGATTTGATGGTAGCCACGACTACCACCATGCAGAGGGTCACGGGAACAAAGAGCATGATGACATGCTTAGCTCCATATTTCAATGTCAGCTCTTCATCTTCTTCCTCATCTTGTTCCACCACCTGCCGTGAGTTACTCTGGGGTCGACCATTAGATACCGGCTCAGGGTTGTCAAGTCTCCGCCTGTCATGGTGCTGCTGCCGTTCTTGACCGTCACTCTAAAAGCACAAGAAAACCATTCAGTAAATCAGACTGAGCTCAACACAACCAAGGCATTCTATAAGAATGATACCTGGGATTAACAGCAATGAGCCAATCAATACTTAAGTTTGGAAAAATACAAAGCAAGAAAGAGCCAACTTATAGACTACCGTATATACTGTCCTTTCGAGGGTTTCTCTGTATGGCCCTGGCTGTCCTGGAACTCCCTCTATAGACCAGGCTAGCCTCAAACTCAGAGATCTGCCTGCCTACACCTCATGAGTGCTGGAATTCATTATTTTTTTTAAATATTTATTTATTTATTATGTTTACAATATTCTGTGTGTGTACGCCTGCTGGCCAGAAGAGGGCACCAGACCCCATTACAGATGGTTGTGAGCCACCATGTGGTTGCTGGAAATTGAACTCAGGACCTTTGGAAGAGCAGGCAATGCTCTTAACCTCTGAGCCATCTCTCCAGCCCCTGGAATTCATTATTAATAAGACTTTAAAATATATGTAGTAATGTTCAAGATATCTCTCTATATCCTTTCTCATAATGCCATGTAAAACTACAATCATTTTAAAATACTTAGTTGAAATAAATTCTCCCAGCCAGGCATGGTGGAACTTGCCTTTAATCCTTACACGTAACAACTCATGCCAGCCTATTCTACATGGTGAGTTCTAGGTAATACAACATTACACAGAGGAACCCTGACTCAAAAATAAAACAAATAAGCAAGCAATCTCCTGGACAGCAAATGGCCTTACACAATCCTGATGTTCCATGTCCTCACTTCAACCTTCACTGTGCCTAATACAGTAGGGAGTGAACATGAACACTAGATGATGGATGCTGAGTTTACAATCTTTGTAGGGCCTCACTTTCCTTAGTTAAACCAGGGGTTGTCTTGTTAGGTTCATATCTATTCTATGCTTAGGGTTATCAAGCCCTCTTTCTTTTGTCTGTGATGCCGAGGACTGAACCCAAGGTCTCATAACTCATACATGCTCAGCAAGTGTCCTGCCATTACCAAGGCACAGCCACATCCTGACTTTACTCTCTGTCTGTGTGTGTGTGTGTGTGTGTGTGTGTGTGTGTGTGTGTGTGTGTACGTACAGGTACAAACTTGGGTCATCAGGCTTGGGGGCTTGTGCCCTTATCCATGACCCTTGGCTTTATTTTCTTATCTTTTTTTCTTTTTCTTTTTTTGGAGACAGCTTTGGAGCCTGTCCTGGCACTAGCTCTGTAGACCAGGCTGGCCTCGAACTCACAGAGATCCACCTGCCTCTTCCTCTTAAGTGCTGGAATTAAACGTGTGCGCCACCACCGCCCAGCTATTTTCCTATTTTTCCCAAGTTTAATTTTATTCTGGTATTTACTGTTCATTTGTTAAAACTTAAATTTTGTCAATGGTGAAACAAATAAAAAGAGCAGTACCAGAGTAGGTGAGATGGTTTGGTGTGCAAAGGCACCTGTGATCAAACCTGACAATCTAAATTCAATTCCCTGAAACCACATGGTGGAAAGCACTGCTGATATAGTCACTGCTGGTAAATGAAGACTGATTAAGCTAACTTCTCTCAGGATGATGATAACATCCTGAGGACAGAGCATAACCATTACTGTGGAGGATTACAATCATTCATTAAAAAACACATTCCATGCTCAAGATGGCTCAGCAAGTAAAGGGACCTGCCACCCAATGAAACAACCTGTGTTTCATCCCTGGAACTCACGGAAAGGTGGAAGGAGAGAACTGCCTGCCTCTAGATCAGTATCCTCTGACATCCACATGCCATGCACATTTACACACAAGAGAGTAATAATACAGCCCACATTTAGTAACAGCATAAAATTATTCCATTGAGGGGCTGGAGAGATGGCTCAGAGGTTAAGAGCACTGACTGCTCTTCCAGAGGTCCTGAGTTCAATTCCCAGCCACCACATGGTGGCTCACAGCCATCTATAATGAGATCTGGTGCCCTCTTCTGGCATGCAAGCATACATGAAAGGAATGTTGTATACATAATAAATAAATAAATGTTTAAAAAATTATTCCATTGAAAGAAGGACTATGACATTACATATCCTTCAGTTTTCAGTCACTCTATTGCCATCACTCCATAGACAAGGAAACAGGCACAGCTAGCAAGTGTAGAAGGGCCTCAACCCAGAGCCTCCTGCCTCCAGAAAAAAAGTTCTCCTAATCTGCCAATAGAGACAACATGGGATCCTGGAATACCTGTTAGGCTAAGGTTCTCTTTGATTTCACTTGAGCATACCCATTTGTGGTGGTTTGAATGAAAATGTCCCCCACAGGCTCAGATGTTTGAATACTTGGTCCCCACTATCCCCAACTAATAGTGCTAAGGTGTGTAGTGCTTAGGAGGTGTGGCCTTACTAGAAATAAGTCATTAGGGGTAGGTTTAAGTCTCGCCATTCCTAACGCACGCTCTCTCTGCTTCCAGTTCAGCTACCAAGCTTGTCTGCTGCCATGCTTCCCTGCCATGACGCTGATGGACTCTAGCCCTCTGGAAGCACAGACCCAAATAAACCCTTCCTTCTATAATCTGTCTTGGTCATGGTGTTTTGCCAAAGAAACAGAAAAGTAACTAAGATACCATTTCACAATAGTCCGGAGAATTCTACTGCATCCCAGGTCCTCTGCTGTGGCAACACTGAAATCAGTTTGCTCTAGACTCTGAGCTGGGTGTGGTGGGGCACACCTACAGTCTAATTACTCAGGAAGCTGAGGCAGGAGAAATGAAAGTCTTAAGGCAGTGTGGTTAAGTCCCAGTCTCAAAATAACATTTTAAAAAGGGAATGTAGCTCATTTACATTTACTCATCATGAGCAAGACCTTGGTTCCAAACCCAGTATCCCTAAAAGGGTCCTGGCTAGAGACTCTGCTCTTTGAAAAGTTTCTGCTGACTTTTAGGACAGGTTCTAAAGGAAACTTTATTTGCCCTATCAGAGACTTGAGACTTTATCCTGTGAGCAATACAAAGTCATAAAGACTAAAGCACACGCACGCACACACACAAAGAATAATAAATTTAGAAAATAGCAACAGAGATAAACTAGGCTTTTATTTTCCCAGAGAAGGAAGTGATCAAGTCATCAGCCAAAACTGTGACGTCTGTGTTTAGCAATACAATTCTAATAACATGACCTGAAACAGGTGTGACTTCCTTGGCAGCACAGTCCTATCACCAGTCTGTATGAACAGTTCAATTAAAGCTGCTATGACAGAGGCGATCAAGTACTCACTCCTACACTCGATATTCTGGTTGATGAGGAGCATGACCCAACCCTGCCCTGTTTTGAACTGAAAATGGTCTAGAGAGTATGGTTTAACTTAGTAGCGAATATTTGTTCTCTCTGTCTCTGTCTGTCTCTCTCTCACACACACACACATTCACTCTTTTGCTTAACACCCTAGTCTTTGTATTTTCAGCTTTTAGAAAGGTAAAACATATTGTGCAGGTTAGATGGTGTTAAAGTAAGAAATATGAAAAAGTGTACAACCAGTTTCTCATTTTTTTTTTTTTAAGATTAAGGTCTCTTGCCAGTCAATGGTGGCATATGCCTTTAATCCCAGCACTTGGGAGGGAGAGGCAGGCGGATCTCAGGCACATAAGCTGGGGCCTGAATTTACACATAGGGCCTGAGAAAGAACAACAACAACAACAACAAAAAAAAAAAATGAACATGGCTCCTTTAAGAGGGGCTGCTGTGCAGCACAGCACTTGAGCAGTCACCACACTATGTAAAATGGCAAGCTAAGTAAAAAACACCTGTCACAGCGAGGACACCAACTTCCTAGAGCTGGATGGTTGAATACAGCTCTCAGTTAAACATAGCGCCCAGTTACAGACAGCTCTCGGCCAGGCCAGGTCTGCAGGTTTATGGCTCGGCTCTTATGGACCTGAGGAGAAGCAGAGCCACACAGTGGAGGGTCTAGCTGCTGCTCAGCAGTTTAAGGTCTGGCTCATGAGGTCAGAGAATGCTACAAGTGCACAGTAAACCAGATCCAGATCGAATAAGTTTTTAAACAGATTACACAATGTGCACAGGTGTCTAAGAAATAAAATGGGGATAGAAATAGAAAAAAAAAACAATTAGTTTAAAAATAAATAAGTCTTTAAAAAGGGTAAAGTAATGTAAAAAGAATAAGCCATGAAAAGATGGGAAATGCACAGGAGTCTAGATCCTGTATGGTGCTTTGCTGGCTGTGAGTGTCTTTAATGCTGGTGAGCGAACAACAGCTGCTGAGGGATGTGAGACTGTAAAAGGAACTGCTGAATTAAACCAGCCGAGATACTTTAGGGACGCCTTAACTCATAAGTGGAATTCAGAAAATGTATTGTGTTGGGGAAGAAGTTATGCTTTTGTTCAAATAGGAAATGAAAGGCTGTGAATTCCTTCAAAATTAATAGAGACCATATTTGACTAGGGGAAACCTCCTGAAAATCTTGGCTACAGACATAAAGAAATAAACCTAGAAAGACTACAAGACAGATGACATATATGCTGATCCCTTGACGTGGGGACAGTTCTGAGACTGGATGAGACAGGATATATCTTGTTAGTTAGAGTCCTCATGACTTATTACTACATGTCATTCTTTCATATGGCATGGATAGAGGGTTCATATAGAGTCCAAATAAACTTATAAAGTTGACAGATAACTTTTACTTGCTCAAAGATATAAATACAAATTATCTTTGGTTGGCTTGTATACAACTCACATTCCATATTCATGTTAGTGCAGGTATGTATGCTACCTTTGAAAGTTTGTGTTTTCAGAGCAAGGGAACCAGACACCACTGAAAATGGGTGGTCCAGGTGAACCAGCCTTCTAGAGTGCTTCTGTTGCAGTTTCCTCAAAATTCTGCATTCAGAACAACTTCAAAGCTGCTACCTGAGATGGCCCAGCCTCACAGACTATCCTAGCCAGGGCTTCAGATAAGCCTTGTACTGTGCCATTACATAAACACTGGACAACAA